AAAAAAAAATATCACTTGTATCTCTCTTTTGGTATTTTTTATATCCGATATTTGGACATAAATTTTTCTTTCCTTTCTCTTTCTATTTCTTTCCTCGCTTTTCCTCTCTTTTTCTGTGTGTCTCTCTTCATTCGTACCGAAGCCTATTTATAGATAGCAATGAGATTCAAATCAGCCATTTGCCATATGGCTATCACGCAAACCAAGGAAAGATAACATGGAGAACATGAGGCTTGAGAAATTATCAGATACAACAAAAGATAAGGCATGTGGGATGATGGGGTAGTGGCCCACTAACATTATTTTCACTCAAATTACTTACAATCCCCCACATGAGTGAAAATTTAATGTATACAGATTCTTGTGCTCAATCCTCACAAAACTCTATTGCATCTGAAAAGGTAGCTTTTAGCTTTGAACCTTTCTTAGTAAACATCATCGGATGCACTGGCGGCCTAGTGGACATAATGCCTTGAATTATTCCTCCATAGTGTACACCGAGACAATGACATTCACACAATAGAGTCTTAACTCCATTCCGTTCTATCGCTGTGTCCGTTTTGGCCATGGACAACACAATGGATTCATAAGTGTTTACATTTGAAGCGGCCCACACTTCACACTTATATAGGTGACTTCCCTATCAAGAGTATCCTGTAATACTACACCTTTACAAGGTTAGGGATTCATTAAAAGTCTATATGACTTACCCTCACCACAATCAACAGGATTTCTTGCACTTGGAGTGCTATAGGGAATAGCTTTGGATATTCATATGTTCCAAGTGCTCAACTGAATTTTCATAGCTTAGTTTTCCCTTTGAACCAAGTTCGTGGGATCTCCACTCATCATGGTAGGGTTACCACTATGATCATTCTTTACATTGTGGATTTTTAAGCACATTCCCTATAGCAAAACTGTCAATTGATCTCTATTCAATCCTTTCGTCAAAGGATCAACCAAATTTTCCTTAGACTTCACATAGTCAATAGAAATAATACCATTTGTAATCAATTGACGTACGGTATTATGTCTACGACGGATATGTCTAGACTTACCGTTATAAAAGTTGCTTTGCGCCCTACAAATAGCAGTTTGGCTATCACAGTGAATCATCACAGGCGGCAAAGTCTTATCCCAACATGGAATATCGGATAAAAAATTTCTAAGCCACTCGGCTTCTTCACCAGCTTTATCTAAAGCGATGAACTCCGATTCCATCGTTGACCGAGCTATACACGTTTGTTTTGTGGATTTCCACGAAACTGCACCTCCTCCAATACAGAAAACATATCTGCTGGTGGAGCGGGAATCTCTCGAATCTGATATCCAGCTTGCATCACAGTACCCTTCAAGTACGGCTGGATATCTCGAGTATTTGAGCCCGTATTCAAGGGTGTACCTTAAGTACATAAGTACCCTTTTCAAAG